ATGCAAAATAACACATTTAATTAGTAAATCATTTTATAACAATAATAATTAGACTTTATTGGGGATTTACTTTGTACTAGCTACCTTGACAAGTGCTTTATAAATCTCATATTTAATATTCTCAATAGCTCTGTGAGTCATTTATTGTTATCCTATTTTTCCTAGAATGTATAAATGCAGAGTAAATATCATTTGATCTTAAGTTGCCCAAAGCCAAATGTACTATTTCTAAAAGGGAAAAATGTGTACTTCTAGTCCAAGTCTGTTTAACTCCAAAATATATTCTCATCAGATTGTGTCAAATATTCTTGGAAGACTGAACAGTGTGTATCATCATCCTCATTTCAGAGATGATAAAATGAGACTCATGGTTTTTGAGTGATTTCCCCAGATCACATCAAAGAACAATGAAATCTGATCTTTCAAGTCCAAATTTTAGACTCCTCTATGAGCTTCAAACACCCCTCCTTGGTGGGAGAGGAGGCCAATTAAGAGCTTAAATGAGGGAGAATTTCTTCCCCCAAGTTCTCAAGAAGCAAGTGAGGGTCCATTTTACACAGTGACACATCCGATGGCTTATTGAAGATATAGAGCATTTACTTCTAATGAGAAATTAGACTAGACGTAGGCTTTCCAAGCTCAGGGTGAGCATTTTCTTCAAAATTTTCAGAGCAGTGCCCAGAAACCTGAGGGAGTATCACTTTCAAGTTTAGCACTTCTGGTCCTTTCATCTCTTCCCCTTAAGATGAAGCTTTTGCAAGCAAAGCCACTCTTAGAAAAATATCTAAAACTACAAATTTTCCTAAATTTTTCTATTTCACATTCACATTTTCCATACTTTAGAGTACATGTTAATTAAAGAGCACTGCTGTAAGGAAAAAATCAATTATGAAATTCATAGACTATCCATAAAAACAGGTGCATCAATTACCTCTCTCTAGAGGGATGGTTTGGGTTTGTCCACATTTAAGTATATAAATATTAATTAGGATAAATGATTTTTGCCAATGATTATTATATAGCAGGCACTGGTTAAGAATTAATTTTATTTAAAAGTTAAATATTGATATAAAGTCTTGTTATTCCAAATGTATAGCTAAGGAAATGAGGCAGAGAGGTTAAGCAATTGCTCAAAGTCACACAGATGATGGGATGAATTGGGTCTTTGAAACCCTCCAGTCTAGCTCCTAACCACTGCATGTAACTACTTGGATGTGACATGCTTGCTCAATTTGAGCAGAGACTTGGAAGTTAAGCACAACACAATTCAAAGGCAGATTTCAAAGCTATGAATGTCCCCCAAGTCAAATATCATCCTTCTTTCTCTCGAGTGCCCATCACCACCACCTATCTCTGGAACAGACATGGATCTCCATATGGATTGACTTAGTAAAGGCAGATGACCTAAAACTGTCCTGAATTTATTTCACTCACCCCAACCCTGGACCTAAATGCTGGACAAATATGAATGAAACTAAGACCTGCCTCCAAGGTTGGCAGAAATAAACTACTTTTCAGTTGTTTTTCTCTAATTTTTACCAATTCACACTTGATTAACTATAAACTATAAACATACTAGCCATACATTAGAAAAACTATCTAAAGTGTCTAATGATTATATAGTTTATTCCCTATGTCTACATAGAATCATTACTTTATCCTGAAATCTGTATAGAGTTAAAAAGTTAAAATCCTAAAAGATAAAACACAATAACTTAGTCTTTAACATATTTTTTTAAATTAAGACAGGTCATGTCTAGGCATAAAATTATCCATTTACATAAACAAAAAAAAGGATGGCTGCATACATTAGCATATCAAGCAGTAATTCTGAATTCTGAGAAAAAAGCATTAAGCACTAAAAGTATGAAAAAAGCATTCTTTAACAGTTTGTAGTCTTGAATAAGACACTGTATATTGTATAACGTATATAATACATAACATTCCAGACTTACCAACAGCTTCTGAATGCACTCACTCAAACTCACAGCAACTTTTCTGGTGTTTTTAACGGCTCTACTGTAAATTAATGTTGTAGCACCCCGGATCCAGTTCACTACAACTATATTCACATCATGATGATTCAAAATCCTTAGAAAGTTCTGAAGCCATGATGGAATGGAGCCCAGTGGTCTGTATCCATGAATAAGCCAGACTGTTTTCTTACTTGTGTTGAACTTAACATTAAGTGAATTATCCCGCTCCAACAGTGGCTCAGGACAGTTTAGGTTGTTCTTTGTATACATTAACAAAAACATCTCCACTTGGGGATTAAACAAATCACTGAAGGAATCCTTTATTGATAGCTTTGTAAATTTAAGGCATGGTCTTTTATTCTCTGAAAAAAAAAATCAGTCAAGCTGAGTACTGATATAGTATTTGATTCCATTCCCATTGCTCTTGCAAAAAGCAAGATTGAACTTGAAGGGTGGGGAGAATTTAATTTCATTAGCACTTCAACACAATTTACTGAGTAACTACAATGTTGATTTGCTGATTGTGTAAAATGAATTTTTGAACTAGAAGTATTTAAAATTTACTATAAAATATAGAAATAAATAAAATTGATTAAAATTAAGAATTATTTTATCTGTACAATATACTAGTAGCAATAGTTTGAGTAAAATTATTATTATTAATAAAGTGTGAACAGCAATAAAAGTAGGTAAGTTGATTATGAGCTTTAACTGTTATTCTGCAGAAAATAGTTACATATAGATAAGCATTAGAAAAAATATATTTTAACTGACTAGGGATCAAATAAATACAAATAAAAACAATAAGTTATCTTTTTCTTCCTACCAAATTAAGCAATAGTAGAAAAATCATTTTAATACTCAATATTTGTGAGTATAAATGTAACAAATATTCATTTACATGGATACTGATGTATAATACAGCATCCTTTTGACATTTTACATGTGTGTGTATATCACACAGATAATCTTAAAATATTTATTCTTCCTGATTTTCTTTCTAGGATTTATATTAATAAAATAAGCAATTATATTAAATGTAAAGTCATTAATCACAGGGTTAAGCATAAGCACACCAAAATTTAAGACACTTTAAATATCCTCTTATAAGTCTTCTCATGCATATGTTCATCTTATCTATCCTCCTACCTACCTATCTACCTATCCATCTATCTATCCAACCTAGAAGGAAACAGGGCAGAAAATAAATTACTAAGCCAAATCAATAGTAGTAGTCATTGCTGAGTTATGAAACAATGGCTGCTTTATATTTTCTTTTTTATTGTTTTTCAGAATTGTAATTATTTTTCAGAATAAGTATATAATACCAATTTTTAATAAGATTATATGCTTGTACTACTCTGAAAGTTTAACTTGGTAAGAAAATGTGAAAAAAACTCTTTCTTAATATATAAGAAATTCACAGAAGTGTTAATATACTTTATCAAAGTAATATCACTTTTTTAGAGATTTTCCCAAGAAAAGAGTCCCCACACACATTAAAAAATTAACCAATATAAGTTATTTCAATACTGGAGAAATAAAAGTTATATAAATGCCCAAATAATAATTTGATTAAGTGAAATATATATATATACTAGTGGCCCGGTGCACGAAATTCATGCACGGGGGAGGGTATGTTCCTCAGCCTGGCCTGCACCCTCTCCAATTTGGGACCCCTCGAAGGATGTCCTACTGCCAGTTTACAGGGATCGGGCCTAAACCAGCAGTCGGACATCCCTCTCGCAATCCAGGACTGCTGGCTCCTAACCACTCACCTGCCTGCCTGCCGGCCTGATTGCTTCTAACCACTCTGCCTACTGGTCTGCTTGCTCCCAAATGCCCCCCCACCAGCCTGATCACCCCAAACTGCCCCCCTGCTGGCCTGCTCGCCCCTACCTTCCCTCCCCACTGGCCTGCTCATCCCCAACTGTCCCCCTGCTGGCCTGCTCACTCCAAATTGCCCCCCTGCTGTCCTAATCACCTCCAACTGACCCCCACTGATGGCCTGCTTGTCCCCAACTGGCCCCCCCTGCTGGTCTGCTTACCCCCAATGGCCCCGCCCCCCACCAGCCTGATCACCCACAACTGCCCTCCCCTCTTGGCCTCTAACTGCCTCTACCTCGGCCCCGCCACCATGACTTTGTCCAGAAGAACATCTGGAAGGTCTCCCAGTCTAATTAGCATATTACCCTTTTATTAGTATAGATGAATTATTTTATAGAATGGGCATTTTATTACAGATGGTTTCCCATGGCATTTTTTCTAAAGAAGTAAAAATTACTTTAAAAAATGTTTCAGGAAGACTTTGAGAAATTTACAGTATCTGCTTTTCTTCCAAGAAAGTTGTCACTTTTATGCCAGAGTGAGAATTATTTGTATGCTTTGTATGTCAGCATTGGGCCACTGTGACTGGGGGGCACTTAGCTTGACTTGACAGTGATTATCTTGCTCACTGGCTAGGAGGGAGGGTGTGTGGCAGAGGAGATAAATACTCAGTTCTGGATTATTCATAGATAGCTGACTTTCTGGATTGATTGTGCAAACCCCTCCTTTTATTGATGTCCACCTTCTATTGACAGACATCTACCCTGGGAGAGAAATGAGATGAAACTCTCTTTCTTTTCATTGTAAAAAGCATTTGAATTCCTAAGGTGTGATAAGGCCTCCCAGCCATCCACAGTCAAGGTACACATTTTCATGGAGGATGTTCCCACTCTTGAATAAATTAAAACAATTTTTTTCTTTTAATTTAAACTTTCTTCTATAACAGTTTTCTTGTTACTTAAAAGCTAGGTTTTTTTTTTTTTGAAACTACTTCCAAAGCTTTTCAAGCTGTATATGTCCTTGGAATGAATTTATAAAT